CCCCTCTCCCTCTTCTCCCTCACCCTCCCTCTCTCTCTCCCTCCCCTCCCCATACCTCCCTGATCCCAAAACGCCGGGGGGGAAGTTGATGACGTCAGCATCTGCAACCCTATTGCAATGGGCTTCAATCAGCTGTGATACCGAAGTTCCGCTTAGCAAAGACCCGTCAAAATATCTTTCGAGCGAAGGACGAAAGTACATGAGAGAGGACGAAAGAATGAGGGAAAAGGAGAGGAAATGTGGCGAAAGGATGGGGAATAAAGATGAAAGAATGAGGAAAAAAGAGACAAAAATGGCGAAAGAATGAGGGAAAAAGAGAGGAAGTGTGGCGTAAGAATGAGGGAAAAAGAGAGGAAATGTGGCGAAAGAATGAGGGAAAAAGAGAGGAAATGTGGCGAAAGAATGAGGGAAAAAGAGACAAAAATGGCGAAAGAATGAGGGAAAAAGAGGGGTGGCGAAAAAATGTGGTAAAAGAATGAGGGAAAAAGAGGGGAAATGTGGTGAAAGAATGGGGAATAAAGAGACAAAGCGTCGCGATAGAATGAGGAATAAATATGAAAGAATGAGGAAAAAAAGACGACACATGGCGAAAGAATGAGGGAAAAAGAGAGGAAATGTGGCGATAGAATGAGGAATAAAGATGAAAGAATGAGGAAAAAAGAAACGAAACGTGGCGAAACAAGGAGGAATGAAAATTAAAGAATAATAAAAAAAGACGAAACGTGGCGAAAAAATTAGGAATAAAGATGAAAGAATGAGAAAAAAAGAAACGAAATGTGGCGAAAGAATGAGGAAAAAAGAAACGAAACGCGACGAAAGAATGAGCGACATAGAGGGATAAAAAGAGCGAATGAAAATCAAAAGGGAATAGAAGTAAATTGGATTAAGGATTTTGGGGTGAAAGAGAACAAAAGGGGAGGAAGAGAGAATTGGAAGAAATAGAAGAAAAGCGAGAAAAGTGTTACCAGTTTTAATTTTTGTTGTTATACTGAATAGATTTATGGTATATGTGGATCTGTAACACGTGAATACGTATGTTAGCGGATGGGGGAAAAGAGAGGAGGAAATAAAGAGGGAATGGGAGAGGGGAGAAAAAGAAAGGGAAAAGGTAGGGGGAGAGGAGGGGAAGGAGGGGGGGGGGAACCTAGGTAAGCGAGGGAAGAATATATGGCAATAATAATATTGGTATTTTGTTAACAATGGTGGTGATTATAACAGCACTGTCATTCATATCGCAATGGCAGTTCCATCAATAACAACTCACTCCATTTCATCTTTCATCTTATTCTTGCTTTCTTCTCCTCCTCCTCCTCCTCCTCCCCTTTTCTCTGCTAACTACTCCTCCTCTCCCTTCCCCGCTCCTTTCCTTTCCCCCCTCCCCCGCTCCCTTACTTCGTTCCCCTTATGATTTATACTCCGGTCCTCTCCCTATCCTTCCTCTCTCTCCCACTTACTCCTCACTAACTCCCACTTCCTCTTCTCCCTCTTTTTCCTCCTCCCTCTCGCTCACTCTCCACCCCTCTTTACCTCCCTCCGACCCTTCTCCCTGCCCTCTGACCCTCCCCTTACTCTATCCTCCTTCCCACCTTTCCCCTCCTTCTCTCCCCTTCCACTCATCCCTCATCCCCTTCTCTTCCTACCCCATCCCACCTCTTCCTCCCCCTCCCCTATTTACTCCCCTCCAACTTCTTCCCACCAACCTCCCCCCATGCCCCCTTTCCTCCCCCTCCCCCTCATGCGCCCTCCTACCATCCCCCCCTTTCCTTCTCCCCCCTCCTTCCACCTCCTCCCCCCCTCTCCCCCCCTCATGCGCCCTCCTACCACTCCCCCCCTTTCCCACCTCCCCCCCCCCCTGCCCACATGCCCACCCGTAATGGCATGCATCGTTCATAACATCCCAATTCTAATTAGGCGTCTAGACCTTCTTCCCTCATAATCATATAGCAATTAGTGGAATAATTGATCGTGGCGGCTGGGGCTTCTCGCCGGTAATATACATTTCGTAAATAATATCCGGTTTTGTGATGTGTTATATAGATATATCGGTACCTATGCATGGGTGAGAAGGTATGTCAAATGTCCATATAGAATATAAATAAACATATCTGTATTTGAAGCATATCCGAATATATGACTATATGCATAACTATGTGTACGCATCTACCTTTAAAGTATATCTTTATCTATTGTTATATAGATATATCGGTACCTATGTATAGGTGAGAAGGTATGTCTATTGTCTATATATAGTATACAAAAACATATCTGTATTTAAAGCATACTTGAATATATTGCTATATGTATTGCTATGTGTATCTTTACCTATTGCTGTATTCATATTTATATCTATATTCATGTTTTTACCAATGTTTGTATCAATATCTATATTGGTTTCTGTGATCATACTTGTTATTGTACCTTTAGAATGTAATATATCATATTCACTTCATTTCAATCATGAATCTCCTCCTTCACTTTCATTTCTTTCAAATCGCCTTTAAAGTTCTCTCTCTCTCTCTCTCTCTCTCTCTCTCTCTCTCTCTCTCTCTCTCTCTCTCTCTCTCTCTCTCTCTCTCTTTCTCGCTTTTTTACCTCCTATTTTTTTCTAATTCATCACTGTATATTTCCATAACCCCTTTCCATCATTTTTTTACCCTCCCCTCTTGTCACAGTCGAGGGATCATGTAAAGGGTGCAGCATCACTCTCCATAAATAGATACTTCATTACTCTGCTTTAGATTGCTCATTCATCCCCTCTCTCTTTCGCCCTGTCCTCCCCACCCCCTTCTTTCTCGTCTTTTCCTCCTCTCTCTCCTCCCTTTCCCATTTCCCTTTTTTCCCCTCCTTTCTCTCTATTTTCCTCTTCTCTTTCCTTTATCTTCCAGTTTTGTCCCTCCCCTCGTCTCCCTTTCTCCTCTCTCCCTTTCCCTCTTCCCTCTCCTTCCTCTCCTCTTTCCCTTTCCCTCTTCCCCTCCCTTCCTCTCCTCATCCTCCTTCCCCCACCCTTTCCCTTCCCTCCATGTCTCTCTCATTTCCTCCCCTTCGTCTACTCCCTCTCTTTCCCTTCCCTCCCCCCTTTCCCTTCACAAAATTTCCTTCCTCATCCTTTCCCTTGTCTTCCCTCCACCCTCCCTGTCCTATCTCTCCTCCCCTCCCCACCCTCTCCCTCCTCCTCTTCCTTTCCTAACCTCTCCCTCCTCTCTTCCCTCTCCTCCTCTTCCCCTCCTCACCCTCTCCCTCCTCCCTTTCTCTCCTCACCTTCTCCCCTCCTCCTTCTCTCCCACACCCTCCCTGCTCTCCTTCCCTCCTCACTCTTTCTCTCCTTCCCTTCCCTCTCCTCTCTTTCCCTCCTCACCTCCTCCCTCATCACTCTTTCTCTCCTCTCCCTTCCCAGCAGAATTTAACTAACCACACACACACACACACACACACGCAAAAAAAAAAAACATACACACAAGCATATTTTATAAAGTTCTCATATTTTCCATTTCCAACGCAAATTTGCAGTGGGATGCGTGTGTGTGTCTGCGCAAATGTGTCTGAATTTATGTTGGTTTTCATGTCTGATCAATTCGGTCATGTCGGTGTAAATGTTGCTTGGTTTTATTAGTAAATTACATCATATGCGGGATGTGATGTGATGTGATTTACATGTTGTCTGATTCGTTATGTGTTATGCGTGAAATGTTTAGCCTGGTTTATGTATTTTGAGGGCGTGGTTTATGTTCACTGTGTGGTTTATTTTTTATGTCTCAATCATGTGGTTTAAATATCTTCTAGGTTTGCGTTTTTTGTCGTTTGAATTAATGTGCTTTGAATGTGTGATTTTTATGTCTTTTGAGTCTTTGGTTTATGTTTTCTGGTCAGTGGTTTTATTGCTTTTGAGTATGTGGTTTATGTGTTTTGAGTGCATGGTTTATGTTTCAGTTTTTGTGGTTTATATAATTTAGGTGCGTTTGTCTTTTAATGCATAGTTTATGTCTCTTGGCTCTGTCATTTACATATTTCGAGTATGTAGATTATGTCTCTTCAGTGCGGGTTTATATCACGAGAGGGCGTGGTTTATGTCCTTAGAGTCTCCCGTGTTTTTTGTCTTTATTGTGTATTCTATCTCATCTAATACATGGCTTGTGTCTTTTGGGAGTCTGTGGATTGAGTTTGGAATGTGTGGTTTATCTGTTGTCAATGTGTAATTTACGTTTTGTTTAGTTTGTGTTTAATTTCTTTTGAATCTGTGGTGTATTCGTTTTGAGAGCGTGGTTCGTTTTTTAAAAATCTAGTTTACTTCTTCCGAATCTATGACAATAACTTTTGATTTGGTTTATCCTGCTGAGCGTAGTTTATTTTATTCAGGCTATCAGATTGCTTCCTTGAATTTTCTGTCTTTTGAGTATGTTTGCGTGTGTACAAGAGGGCCTGGACTTAACGTTATGTGTCGCAGTACATCGGCAGCCTGTGAATTGACACTGTGCCAGGCATATGCATGTAAGCGGTCCGTCTGTGACAGCATCAAGAAGATTGACTCCCTCGGGGCTGCCTGCGAGGAGAGCAATCAAGAAATTCATATTTATAGGCAGAGCTCCCGTTCCGAGCCCAGGGCCCGAGGGAATCATTTTTTGCTTTATCTGTGGGAGTCGAACAGCTGTCTGAGCCTCCTGCGTCTAATCGCGTTGCCTGCGATGCTTTAGTGAGACAGTCCCCGCGCTCTCGTTGTGAGGGCCCCGCGTGGCTCGTCGCTGGTGTAGTCAGCCTCGGATTATGCTAATGCCATGCATGGCTGTGGCTGAGCAGGAACGGGCATGCACGCGCTGGAACGCTTGGTATAGATCAATCAGGAATGTTAACGGCGGCTCCGGAAAGCATAGGATTATGCTGAATGCTCTCGGATGCAGTGCGGTGACAGGGCTGGCCGTCAATACCACGGAAGGGAAACGCCGAGCTTTTACTTTTTTTTTCTTTTTCTTTTCTTTTTTGAGACACTGGAAAAGGAAGACACTGAC